TAGAATAACATTACCCCTTAAGCAAGAAACTCAAAATATTTATATGACCTTAATATAAAAGGCCATTCTATAATAATTTCTTTAGAGTCAACAAGATAAAATACGTGTCACAGCTCTATCCTAGCTATTTCTAGGGGGAGAATTATTAATTAAAATTAAAATAATTCTGAGGTTTCATCAAATACTGTGAAAATCTGGGAAAGATGAGAAAAGATGGGAAAAGTTAATGTTGTAGAGGCTGTGAGAAGACAGGTTCATTGATGAACTATTGGTCAAGTTGTCTAATTTCTGAGTATCAATTTGGAATTATGTAAAAAGATGACTAAATTGTCCGTACCCTTTGTCTTATTGATCTTACCATTAGGTATATATGCTAAGGAAGTCAATGACACAAAAAAAGAGATTAAATACACGCTAAAATATCACTTTTTATGGTAGCAAATAAATAGGGAAAATGGGTTATTATTAGGTGATAGCTGAAAAAAAATGGTATATGAATATAATGGAATATTTATTGTGTAATAAGAAATGATGAATATGAGGAATGTATGGACTCAGAAAGTTTTGTATAAACTGCTGCTGAGTAAAATAAACAAGAAAATATTATGCATAATGAGTATGATATTATACATTAAAAAAAACACTAAAACAAGTTGAACTATGAGTAACTGAAAAACCAATAGAGGTCCTTGAAAAAAATAGTGAAATACATCTTCTCTTCATGGCAGAGATAGCAGACTACTAAGATTAAGCATAAAAATCTTGCATACATTGTCAGCTGCAGTTACTGTATTCGAATCTTTTGTTTGATTGTTTTTCTTTGTAAGAAGGCAGAATTTATCCTGAAGGGTGTGTGTGTGTGTGTGTGTGTGTGTGTGTGTGTGTGTTGAAATGACAGATACAAAGACAAAAGATATCAATGAAATCTATTAAAATAAAAATCAGAAGATAAAATTGATATTTTATTATATTTTTATTATTCTAAAAATTAATGTTTCAGGAATATCATATTACTTTACTTGATGGCTTCTTATTTTCTCTAGGATAAAACAATAAAAAAATTCTCTAGTCATGTAAAGTCCTCCATAATCTGGCTCCCTATTTTTACAGTCCTATTTTGTATACTCCTCCTCTTATACTGTTTAGGTTAAACTAGCCTCATAGTTAATTTCTGAACATGAAATTGCATTTCTTGTCTTTGTACATGTTGTCTTCCATGTTTAGAATTCACTCTCTCCTCACAGAATCCTCAGCTCCTTCAAAGCCCTGCTCAAGAGACTCCTCCTCCATCTTCCTGACTCCCCTACCTCATCCCAGCCTCTCCTACACTCTTGAAAGCACTTTGTATTTACTTGTTTGTGTAAGTATTGTATTCAATTTAATTCAACAAGCATTTATTATGTGCTCATTATGTGCCAGGCAACTGGAGATATTTTATGGGGCTACAAAGACAAAAATGAAACAGCTTGTATTCTACTGGATAAGTGACTGGCATTTATATAGTGCTTTAAGTTTGAAATATCTACATTTATATTATATCTATATCTACACACATGTGAGGATGCTGAGGTTTAGAGAGGTTAAGTGACTTGCCCAGGATTACACAGCTACTAAATGTCAGAGATCCACCTTCTATTACACTGCTTCCACTTTGATTTCCTTACCCTGTCCCCCACCTTGACACATACCTTGGCCCCTCCAAGTGGAAGGTAAGCTCCTTAAGGACAAGCTGTTTCATTTTTGTCTTTTTATTGCTTGCCATCACTTAATGCACTGTCTTGCACATAGTAGGCACTTAGTGAAAGTTTGCTGAATTGAATTAAATATGAATAAGTACGTCTAAAATTTTTGTAACTAAAATGTTTTGAAGTAGGTAACAATTAAAAAAAAAAAAACCACACACTCTATGCCAAATGACAGAATCTTAAGAGTTGGAAAGTACTTCAAAGACCATGGAATCCAACCCATACCTATACAAGAATCCTATCTACAACATACCTGATAGTTACCTAGATTTTGCTTAAAGACCTCTAGTAAGCAGAAACCCACTACTTCCTGAAGCAGTAAATTTCTCTTTTGTATAGTTCTACTGTTTGAAAGTTTTCCCTTATATTGAGTCTGATTCCATCTAGAAAGTACACTACTTTTTAAGTTAGAGGAACTTGCGTCAAATCCCTGGACTCTCACTGTGACCTTGGATATGTCACTTAAATTAGCCTAGTGCACCAACAGTAAAGGAAGGAAATGGGACTAGAAGACCTCAAGTATTGATTCCAGTTCTAAATTTTCTAACATATTCATGTCTTTGCAAATTTTATGTATTTCTCTTGTTTTTGCTATCTGGGGCAAATCAAAAGAAATTTAACCTCTTCCACTGGACAGCCTTTAAAACATCTGGATGTAGCTGTTATATCCTCCATAAACCTTCTCTTGCCTAGGCTTCCTCAATTTACTTAACCATCAATTTATGAATGAATCCATCTAATTGTACTAATGTATAGCCTATATCACTTTATCTTTTCCACAAGAACATCATGAGAAACTGTTGGCTATTTTATAAAATTATCAAAAAAGGCAAGGAAGCTAGTCTTGATGAAGCCATATTTGCTCTTTGGGATCACTGCTTCCTTTTATGGATGTTTACTAAGCATCCATTTAATAATATATTTAGAATTTTGCCAGGAATCAAAGTCAACTTTATTTTCACATAGTTTGAAGAATCCATTCTCTTTTCTTTTTTGAGCACGTGGACAATGTTTGCCCTTTTCCAGTTGTGTTATCTCTATTCTACTTTTGATCTTTCAAATCTAACTGTTGGCACTCACATTTGCCAATTTTTTTTAGTCTTCTTCTCTGTAGTTCATAGAGCACTGATCATAGTATTGTAAATTTAGAGCTGGAAAAGACTAGGCATAATTTAATCCAACTACTTCATTTTTACAGATGAGGAAAGTGAGATTAGAGGAGAAATGACTTGCTCAGCATCACAGAGACACTAACGAGAAAAGCCAGGATCAGAATCTAGGTCCCCAGGCTACAAATTCAGTGCTTTTCCCATGGCACCACATTTCTAGCCTGGTGATCTGGGAACGCAACATCCAAGGGTGACCGCTCGGTAGAAAAATGAAACAAAGATACATTTTTAATTGCAATGAAACATGATTGCCTCCCAAGGCAAGTATGAAATTCCCAATCTCATGGCAAGGAAGGTTCCACAGGTTTCCTTCCATGACCCATCAGCCATCCATCACAAAATGACTGTTTCTACCATGCATATAGCCTTACCCCTTTTCAGCAGAAATATAGCTGTCTCCCTTTTAGCCAAAGAAGATCAAAAGCAAGCCCAGGGCCCAATCCATCTCGCATCATGCCTTGTACCTGTTAATAGTGGCCTCTACCTGCCAGTCAAGGGCAGCTCACAGACAGTGGGCTCATTTAGGCCAGATAACAGTATCAGATTCCTGGTAATATAGCAATATTAGTAGCTCTTGGGGCCACTTATAAAGGAATTTTATTCCTTGATGAATTTAATACTATACTATCTCTGTTCTGAAACCTCACTAATAACTGCTTTTAGGTTGCTTTTTTTTAAAGTTCAATATCTTAAATAGAAAAATGCTAATTAAGCAAATATTTTTTTCTTGACATATGAACAATTATATAAATAAATTCTTAAAAGTGAAAACCTATACTTATTTTTTGAGTGTGGCATCCTGACCTATATAACCTGTACTAGTAGTTTCATAATTTAAACATAATTTCAACTTTTTATGAATCAAAATTATGTCTGTGTAAGAAGCATAAGAACATAATACATTTAAAATACTTCAAGTTACATTCTAATACATAAAAGAATATATAAGCAAATAACATATGTGTACATATCTATTTTACAGTTTAGTGAATTATAGACAAAATTTAAAAAAATAAAACTTCCAGAACATTATCAAATTCATTTCATGTCATTCAAATTCCAAAGTGTGCAAACATCTGATTGTCAAGATCCTTTGTACCCTAAGCTGATCAGTCCTCTCAATCAACACTATTTTATAGTACAGAATTAGATTCCTGCCTTCTGTATATGAGTCCTAGTTTTTAAATACAAATTAGTGTTAATATAGCTGCCTGTGATTTATTTGCTCCAAACCAAACACTACGTTACTTGGTTTTGCTTGTTTCTTAAGTATAAAATATGATATTTATTTTGAATACTAAGGATTTACAGTGTAATTATAAACCACCACCTCATTGAAAAAGACACTGCTTTGACTCACAAATGCTTTAATTGCTAACAACAGTTTTTCTAAGTAGGAGTATTGTCTGTAATTTGTTGTAGCAGATGTGATTTGGAAGCTGGATGTTGAAGTACCCCAAGATTTAAATATCCTGGATGTTAGCAAAAACAAAACAAAACAAAACAAAACAAAACATTCCATCTTGTTCCTGGAGAATATTTCAGTATGAACAGGATGACAGAAACTGTATTAAGGAAAATTTATACTATTGGAAAATGTTGTTTATAAACTGAAAAGGAAGTCAAATTATCAATAACATAGCTACATAATTCCCATGGAGTATGAGACGTTGTATTCAAGCTAGAAACTCATTGAGAACACAATTACTTTGGCATGTTCCAACATGAGAAAAACCACAGAAATTTATAAAAAGGGTTGCTCAAAGAAAAGTAATCATGCACTCTTATGAAACAAAATAACAGCATTTGTATTTGTGAATTTATAGTCAAAACAGTTCAGGTTGGCTCCTGCTTGACAAGAGAAGGAATGATTATATCATTTGTAACACATGGTAACCAGAATCAATAGTAGCCATACTTCATGGTGAAACAGGCTCTTTCACTGAAAAATAAAGTAATTGTAACTTTACCCTCACCCAAACACATTGTTTTCCAGATAAAATCACTAGTATAATAAAATGACTCAGGACAATGATTTACATATGTAAATAACTCAAATAAGAATGTGGAAAAAAAAAATTCCTACCAGTTTGGCTGAGCTGGGATGTACTGCGGCTTTTTCGTGAGAGACCCACAATAGCTACCATTTTTGCCCCAATGCTGGAGCGCCGCTTTTTGCCACCGGTGCCCATGGTGCCCACTGCGGTATCAGATTGGCTGCCATCATTCTTCTCTATTGTGCACATGTCCCCACTGATGCTGGTGCTTTTAGTCATATTCTTTCCTGAGATGCCCATCTGTCTGCTTTGCATTTTGGATGTAAAGACACTGTCAGTCGATGGATGGATAAATAGTGCAGACAGAGCAAAAAGGGAAAGACAGAAAAGGACAGGTTTCAGATGAAAAATTTGGAGTCTATTGCAGTGGTACAATTTACATAGAACTTTTTCTTAGATGTGATGACAATCTTCAACAATTATGGTACTGAATGTGCTTAACAATTCAGAGCCAATTTAAATACAGCTATGCAAATATAAGCCTCTATATTTTTGCAAAGTTTTTGCCTGTGGGTTGATTTTTGCTGCTAAAGGAAATATTAATTTATAAGAAAAATATTTTCAGGGAAAACCATAAGGATATTTACCTGAATATACTTTCCTACAGCAACAAGCATACTCTAGAGTAATTATACAAAGCAGGGAAGTTACTCTCCAAATGTAACCTGTCCTTAATTACCTTTATAACACATTTGGAATGGTGGGCATTTTTTGTTTGTTATTGTAATGACCAGAGCATTCATTTTAAGAGAACATTTTCTCAGGATATAAAGAATTTTATGTAGTAGGTGCTAGAAATTAACACATAATTAACTATGAGAAGTTTTCAAATTCTAACAAGATTTGAAATTTACATTGATTTTGAACTGAATTGTAAGCACAATTTCAGATGATTAGATTTCACAGTTCTGAAAACTTTTATTTTCAGTACACATAGATTCATTTTGACAATGTAAAGATTTCTTTTCCACCTATTTTAAAAACATCTGCACTAATTTCTTAAACATATGTAAGGTGTTGCCTGATGAGAATGTTGGAAGGTGAGCATGAAGTCTATTGGTGAAGCAAATCATTGGAGAGTTGTTAACAGGGTAGCCACTAGTTAGTATCAAAGCCCATTCCTTTAGGAATTAGCTCCAGGTTCAAACAATTAACTAAATAGAAATGGCCAATTTTAAAGCCCAGAAATAGTACTGGGTTTCCACACCATTTCAGCAGGATAATTATAGGGGAAGGGGAGAGTTTCATGCAAACAATAAATTGGGAAGGCTTGCTAATGATTTCAGAGGCTACCAACATAATACTAAGGGAACATTAAGAAGTTGGCCTCTGAAAATATGAGGATGACATTAGAGTCTCATACACATACACACACACACACACATATAATGAGAGAGGGTTCCTAAAATTCAACATGCTTCTGAATACAAAGTTAATTTTTGATGTAAACCCTCTGTATAGAATCATAATATCACTGAGTTATTCCAAAGATTTTGGCACTTTTATGTCAAGGATTCTTGATTTCCGCAACTGTAAGCTTAGCAATATATGACTGATGAAGATTAACAAAGTGATTTTCATGACATGTATATATGCATGCATATATATATGGATACACTTATACAACAGCCCTAATTATATTTATATATGTATATATGTTTGTATATATACATATATATGTTAGAAATATTGATTAATGTCATGAATATTACTTTGTTAATCTTCATAAAAAACAAGGAGAAACTACAGGGAGAAAACCACTACAAGCATATGTGCACACACACACACAAAGATTCACACACACACATATAGATATGGGCATATATGTGTGTGTGAATCTTTGTGGTGGCTTAACAAAGGTTAAGAAAGTGAATCAATAGTCCTAATTATCTATATATACATATATATAAATTTATATATGTATATGCACATATATAATTAGAACCATTGATTCATGTCATGAAAATCACTTTCTTAACCTTTGTTAAACTACTAAAAAGATTCATTCATATATATGCATATATGGATATTTGTATATATGTACATTTATATGTGAATGTATATGTGTGTGTATATGTGTATATATATACACACACATATATATATCATCAATATATATCAGTCATTTTTAGTCATGTCTGCCTCTTCATGACCCAGTTTGGGGTTTTCAAGGCAGAGATGAACAGTGAAGTAGTTTGCCATTTTCTTCTCCAGCTCATTTTACAGATAAGAAAGCTGAGGCAAATAAGGTTAAGTGGCTTGGCCAGGTTCACACAGCTTGCATAGCTGTACTTAAGTGTCTGAGTACAGATTTGAACTCAGGTAGATGAATTTTCCTGACTCCAGGCCTGGCACTCTATCCACAGCACCACATCGTTGCCTTGTAGTGGTTTTCTCTTTTAAATGTGGTTTTCACTATAGCTATAACATAGCAATTTTAAAAGATTTCAAATTGGTGCTATGTTCTACCAACAGAAAGGGAAAATGCATTAGAGTAGTGAATAAATTTGGAGCAATGTATAAACTGTGTTGTTTACAAGCCTAATGATTATGTTTATGTAGGACAGCTTGTTGAAGTCAATGATGGTGTCAATGTAATGATACCATGTGAATGTCTGTATCACTTCCATAATCTCACTCTTTCACTGTGTAGGGGTTGAGATAAAGGAACCCTTTGAGCTAGATCTGACCCAAGAAATATAATCTAAGTTCTTTTAGCCAGGAAAAAATATATTAGCAAATGCCAATCATATTTCACTTATATCTTAAAAATAACTTGGGGAAATTGGGGTTTTGGTTTCCTAGTGGAATATTACTAATCTCTCTACAAAACTTCTAGTCACTAATCTTAAACTAGAGAGATTTAGAAATATTTGAAGTAGAAGAGAGTTCCCTGGAATAGAATTTTCTATGGGTATGGACAGGAGATATAGTTTGGCTCAGTTCCTAAATGAAGGATTTAAGGTGTTCTCTATGTACCCTAATGCAGCATAATATGACCACACACACATCATATTATAAAAACTGGAAAAGCACCAACTGGAAAAGCACCTCACATATTTTCATTCTTCTCTGTTACTGTTTTAGGAAATTGCCTTTCATGAATTCTTATCCCTTTACCATTTATTTTCTAAGTCTGTCTGAATCAAACTAAAATAGTCTTAGAACAGACATTACTGGAAATCAAAATTCAGATATTCTTTTTATTGACATATGAATATTTCTTCAAACTAATAAAAACATGCCATACACTGTATACAGGTATTCTAAATATAAATTGGCCATGATGATAATAGTAATTAAATAATACCACATCTCCAAAAATAGAGAGGAAATGTTTCATCTGTCCATCCAAACAGGGTTAAAAGGAAGTTAGGCACAGATAAAAAGAAAGAAAAAAGCCAAGTGAATCTAATAATTCTAGTTGTTAAGTCTGTTTGAAATGCTCTCACATAATTTCATTTTCTTAAATAATCCCAATTTTGCTGAGATTTCCATTTCATACTTTCAGACTCCAACCTTCTTGAGAGTTAGTGGTTCTTTCATTCTTTGTATTTATACCTCAAGGGCTTTTTCCAGTGCCTGGTACATAACAGGTACTTGATAAATAATTATGATTTATTGATACCTATACCTCCTGCCTAGCCTATTACTCTACACAAAGAACCAAAATCCAGAAGGGGAGAAACATTTTATTATATATTAATTACTACATATTAAATGAGAGTAAATTCATATTATTCTTACCTAAGATTCCATTGGTACTATTACTTCTAGACATCAAGAGCAGTTTAAATAAATTCTTATCTGGAAATTATAATATAAGGGCTTTCCTGATAATCTTGAGTGATAAAAAATTTAGTTTTTCCAATGCCAAATTTTTTTTTGGTATCCAAATGACATAAAGATAGGATAACAAAAGTCCATAGAATAGGAATCTTTTACTTCTTCCACAAGAAGGATAGACAAGATCTTAACTAAATTTCCATAACAGAAATATGCTCAAGAGGAATGGTGTTAAAAAGACCAATGTGGATATAAATTCACTAACCAACTTAGATTTTTAAAAGACATAAAAAAAAAGACAGAAGCAAAGGCAGAGAAGGGAGAATAAATATAAAGGACTAACACAGTCATGTAGTAATAATAATAATAATAATAATGAAAGCTCTGACATTTACATATTACTTTTGATATATTATCTTATTTGATCCTCTCAACAGCCTTGTGCAGTAATTACTCTTGGTATTATTATTACCATCTTTTAAATGAGGAAAATGAGGCTCAAAGAACTTAAGTGACTTGCCCATGGTCATAGATGTAGTAAGCATCTGAGACAGAATTTTACATCAGTATTCATGGAATTTAAGTCTTGCACTTCCACTTTTAATTTCATTTATCTTTTTAGCTTTAATTCAATTTTATTTTATTTTCAGCTCTAATAAATAAAAACCATCATAAATATGTATTGACATACAAAACAAACTTTTGCATTAGCCATGTTCCAAGGGAAAAAAAAAACAACAAAAGGAAGAAAATGTTCTTCAATCTGTACTCTGAGTACATTAGTTGTGTCTTGTACTCTTTCCACTATAACATATAAGGCAAGTGTCATGACTGATATAGGTGATAATCTTAATGAATATTAATATCAATTAAATGGTCTTTTAAAAAGGCTACATGAAGGAAAGGCATTATTAAAAGAGATGAAGTGTGAATATTTAGAAAGGTGATCATTAAATCAGTTTAGGTTTGTTAAGAAACAAACTACATCCTTATTTGATAAACAAAGAATATTAACAAGAACTTCTCATGGGAAAAAAAATCCAAGCTATTAATAGCCATATGAAAAAATGCTCCAAATCACTAGTTATTTGGGAAATGCAAATTAAAGTAACTCTGATGGAATGCTTTATACCTATCAGATTGGCAAGGTTTACATAAAAATAAAATGACAAATATTACAAGGGCTGCTGGAAAACAGGCACACTGGTGTATTGTTGATGGAGTTGTGAACTGTATCAGGCATTTCTGAAAGAAATTTACAACTCTGACACAAAAGTTACTCAACAGTGCATTCCTTCTGACTTGATGATACCATTACTATGCTCATATCATAAAGACATCATAGAAAGAAAAAGAATCCCTACATGCAAACATATTTATAGTAAACATTTTTTTTGTGGTGGCAAACAATTAGAAATTAAGGGAGGGGTGTCCATAGATTGAGGGAATAGATTGATAAATAATGGTATATCAACATAATGAAAT